ATCCAGAAACCAAAGGTGAGCAGCAACAGAGAACTGTGTCATCAACACATCTGTACAAAACATAAAAAACAACATATCTAAAAGTAAATGATAATACGATATGATAATTTTCTTTAAATTCAGTTTAAAGCTTGAAGTAAAGAAAAAGTTCCAATAATCATAATTACTTTACAGCAGAGGTCACGGTTTAGCGGACCGCGGTCGGGATCCGGACCCAACCTGCTGGCTGATCCGGACCCAAACTGATTTAAAACATTTATAAATTACTCGATGTTGTCCGACGACAGTGTCTAACTTCTGCGCTGCTTCTTCAGTTAATATGGTAAAAGCCGTACGGCGCATCCAGCACCGGGCTGCACGTGATAAAAATTAGCCAATGAGCTTCTGTCAGTCTGGGTTGCTGCTGCTGCTACTGCAGCAGCAGCAGCACCTCACCTGTGAAAAGCCTGGCGATAGGAAAAAAGGAGAAGATTATGAGAAAAAGAGAGCAGAGAAAGTAAGGACTGCTGAAAAAACTGGTGAACTGATGAAAGAAAAGTGAAACGGTGTGCTCAAAGATGACCCTGCACTATTAGAGTATATTTGGCTTAACCTGCTGCTGTGAAGCAGGATTCTCCACCATGAACAGAATTAAAAAACAAATATGGATCCAAGCTCAAAAAGAGCACCTTGATATGTGCTTTAGAATGGCTTCTTCTCAATTCAAACCAGGTTTAAGCCTTGCAGGTCAGCCTAAAGCCAACTGCTTTCATTAAGCCAGAAAAAAGAAAAAGAAAATGGTCAGTTCAGGTGTTTTATAAAATATGTGAATCAGGAAATTGTCTATACGCCAAACTGAACGACTGTTGTTCTCCGCTTCAAAAAACACTACAGATTTTTTATTTTTTATTATTCAATGTATAACATGGATGCATAAAATAACCTGCTTTTTATTTCAGTGTTAGATTCTGTATAAAGTAATAATTTAAAATGTCTCCAGACCTTTACTGGTTGATGATTTTCTTTATTCGGACCCCGCCAATTTTTTTTTTATTGGTTGCTCCTGCTTTAGAGCCTCTCTGCAAAAAAGATGAATAACAATACATAAGCTATTAAAATATCTAGCTAGGTGGTAAGGCGAATGTTAGTGTGACTGGTAAAAGATATTTTGACAATAAAATCAAACTTTTCCAGACTAAATCTTTCTATTTGTTATGACATTGTGGACGGTTACCATTTACACTTCTGCTCCTGAAGTCGCATTTTAGGCACAAGTTGTGCTGATTGATGAGGTTCAATCAGAGGGGACACTTTAAGTAGCTACAAGAAAGAAAAAAAAACATGAAATTTAAAACTTAATTTTTTGGCTACTTTCTTTTTCTTTTTTTTCTTTTTTTACATATTTTCAGGGCAGTCTTTGTACTTTTGCCTTCAGATAAATCTTTAGTTTTAATTTTTATATTTCTAAATGAATAAATAAACGGCTCTTAATCTTTGTAAAGTTTAACTTTAAGTGCACGAAAATCAGACAAGATTTATTTTTTAAAACGACGACATTACAACCCATGATCCAATAACCCAAAGAAGCACCGTGAAGTCGATCTCTCCATGATTTCATCAAGCTTTTGAACTATTTGGAAACATTTTGGTTTATTTTTCTCCAAAAATGTCGCCTCAGTCTATATCACAGCATTTCTATCATACTGAGGTTTGGATTTAGACTGGATCAATGGAACAACCGTATCCTTTAATCTCTCTCCGACCCGCCGCCTGAGGGTCTCAGCGTTTTGCATGCTGTTGTCATAAAACAGGGATAACAGGGACGTCTGCTGCTGCTTGGAGCTGAGCTAATCCATGATGCACAAACATCACTGATGGCAAAACGTTAAGATCATCTCTAGATTACAAACTGACAAAAAAAAATCCATACATGGACCTGGGAAATTTTCTGATTAGATTTTGCAAACCCAGGAATTTAAGACGGAGCTAAAATGCAGGAAAGCTAAAGTTGAGATGGAGCAAAACTCCTCCTGTCTCCTCGTCACCTTCGCAGTCCTGAAAAGTGTAAATTTCCTTCCTGGGTGATAAGCGTAAGAGGAGAAAAAGAAGAGTCAGGAGACAGAGCTGGGTAATACTGATAGACATATTCACTCGGAGCGAGCAGACCTGGAGTTTTTAAATCAAAGGATCAAAAAAATGCCCCTTCAGCAGAGGCAGGTTTAGTTGGATGAATGGACTCGGCGGCAGAGGTGAGGTGGTGCTACGGAGGGGGTTGGTGGATGTCAAAGCAAGTGGCTGAGACATGGCTATTACTGCCGGTGAGCTGTGGCCACCTGAGTAATTACTACCTTCTCTGTTTGGTTAATCCCCCCGAGCAGAGCAGCAAACTCAGGAGAGAAAGGCTCAGAGCTCTGAGGGGCTCTCGTCATTCAACTTCAATTATGATGAGCCACGACCCGCTGTGCTCACGGAGAGACGGAAGGGAAGGATGGGAGGAAGGAGACAAAGAAAACCGATCTCTGGAGTCTCTTCAGGCAAAAAAAAAAAAAGGAATCGATATTCATGTTCTGCTTTTCACAGAAGAAAACAAAACCAAACTTTTCTCTTTCAAGCTTTGGAATAAAATAATAAACTTTGTGTAAAGAAATCAGGACAAACCAAGTCAGTCAGTTCTTTAGGAAGAAGTTTTCATAACCAGCTTCTATTCCCCCACAGGAATGGAAACCGATTTTATTAGATTGATCAACTATGAGATCAAACTATAAACTGTGTTTAGAAAAAGTTGCGACAAAAATCTGCTTAAACTTCAGAGCAGCTTCTCTAACAATCTCAGGATCCGGAGCTCCGATCCTCACTGACATTTTACAGCATAGACAATTTTACATCTCTGTTATAAAACAAATACATCCTGTCTTGGAGAGACTGATTAAAAACATAATGTATATACAAGGTTGATGTATTTGGCATTTGCTATATTTTCAATTGAAATGCATAACCTGTTGATCTAATCTTTTATCTTTTTATTTTGGGGTTAAAATTGTCCATTTTTCTAATGTTTGAAACCAACACATTTTGTTGTGTTTTGGTGTTGACCAAATGTTCTTCTGACAGTCTTTTAATGTTTTCCTTGGTTTATTAAGACAGCAGATTGTTTTACAGATTTAGGAAATGTTTTAGGAATGACTATTTATGTATATTAACCTGGAAACTATTTCATTTTCAAGCACAGGACATGAAAAACAAGATTTATTTATAATGCAGACACATTCATGCTACATTATGGCGTTTGGTGGGCTACCTGGGATTAACAGGGAGCCGTCAAGAGACAAGAGGAACCTGAATACAAACCTTCACCCTGCCACTGAGCCAAAGCCTTATTTTAATCAACCAACACCCCCCTTCTGATTGGTAGTGATATCTGCGTTCTGCAATGGTCCATTCAGAGTCCTGATCTGAGTGGGACGGATAATCTGGACTGGAAGCTACAGATTAGGGTAATGGTAAAGAGGACTTCCAACCTGTCCAAGAGTAAATTGCTTGGACAGGAATTACAGGAAGAGTTTAATTCCTTTAATTAGAAAAAGAAATTTCAACCTGATTAGTAAAAAGGGATTATTATATATACAGTAATGATATAAACATTATATAAACAGTAATGAATAAAGATAAAATAGCAGGTTTTTTATCGTTTTACTCTAATTTCCAATGAGTAACAAACTTCTAGGTTACATGTTGATTTCAAATCTAAATCTGCTACTGGTAAGAGGAACTTAACTCTGGCTGACCGAAAAAATAAAATAAAATAAAAATAGGCAGATTTTCTAACAAAAGCTCAATTTGAGCAGTTATACATTTACTTTAGGAAAGAAGCCTAACCTTTTTCTTTCCTTTCTTTGACTGTTCATAGTTGGAAAAGAACAAAATCAGACAAGTCCTACATTTTAAAGTTAACAGAACAGAAATATACGACACATCAATCAATATACATAAAACACAAAAAGAGGAACCAAAATATTCTGGACTGTGTTTTACTTTGGAGTAGAAAGCAATATGTCACCAAAGAAACAACACCAAACGCTTCATTTTGAAGGTTTGCACACTTCATTGCATCTCAGGATCATAAATGCTGAAAGCAACAACTGTGTTGGGTTACCTTTGCGTTCAGAGCGCTTCTTCCGCCTCCTCTTAAACTTGCGTCGGATCAGGCAGTAATAGGAGCCCAGACTCTGCACGTCATTGGTAAATAGGGCCATGATTTAAACCCCAGGATACTCTCTAAAATCAAGTTAACTGCTGCTGAAGGATGAGGTAAAACTTCAGCTGGAATCAGTCTACCAGTCCTGAACCTCTGACAGCCGCCGCTAATCACACTTCACCGCTGAGTAAAGTCGTGCAACAGACATATGCTTAACTCTACAACACCTGCAGCGTTTCTTTGTTTCTACCCTCACATCCAAACTGTGTCTCCATCCCTCCCTCTCTTCCCTCCTCCTCCGGAAAGCTTCTCTCCTCTGTTGACTCCATGTCTGCCCTATCAGCAGCCAGAGAGGGGAGGCAATGGAGTAGAGCAGGAAGGAGAAGGAGGAGACTCATCCTTCAGACTCTTAGGATTTAACCTATGTTGGAATGGAAGCTCACATATTCTAGCTTTTGCAAAAAATAAGAAAACAACTGATGTCTGTTAAAAATCCCTCTTGAAAATCTTCTGTTCTGTAAACATGACTGCAGGACTGCAGCACAAAAACCGCTTATTAAAGAACAAAGACACACAGTCTCGATCAGAGGATAAATTAACCTGCTTTCAATCTTAGATCTTTTTATTTTATTTACTGACTTACATCCAGTGGAAATTATCACCATAAAAGGGAAAGAAATACTGTGCTGCCCTCTAGTGGTCTCTTGCTACAACTGCATTTTTAAACCATTTGCAGCAAACTAAACTTTGCATACCTGAATTCATAACAACAGGCTTCTAAACTTTTATGTGGTGGGGGGGGAAAGAAGGCAGGATCAATACTGACCTTTGACCTCTTCAGAAGGTCTGTGACTGGAAAAACCTGTTGGAGACACAGAGACAAAGATTTTCCAGATTAATCACGCAGCAGGATTTTATGAGGACTGACACGTCTCTGTTATAAGTCTGGAACAAAACGTTTTCAAAGTTTTGCAGATGTGCTGGAGCAGAAAAAGGACATACGCAACCCAGAAAAAATACAATCGACCTGAAGATAAATGAACTCATGCTATTGTCACTAAAAAAGAACAAAATGTAAAGAAGCATTTTCTTTTTTTTTTTTTTAAGCAGTTCCACATTTTTAATATACTTTAATATCTCCATGACTTACTGTTACCAGTAAAATGGGTCAGACAAGATAATTTTTTTATTCATCCTGTGCAAATATGCATTTATCAATAGAAGTTACTCATATTAATTTGCCTTATTAAGAGCCAGAGGAATATTTTCAAGATCTACATAAACCTGTAACATGTGGCTAAAAAGATAGAACAAGGAAATAACTTTAATAAAAAAGTAAAATAAAAACTAGAGGTGCATCTTAAGATTAAAAGCTGTTTCACTGACTACTTTCCAGATTAATAGAGAAATTAATTGTTCTTAAGTTTTCAAACATGCCATGATGTGTTCCTGTTCCAATTGTTTTAAGCTAAGTCATGTTTTTAACAACTCATGGTGAATAAATAAAAATTTCAAATTTAGATTAAAACCAATTGTCTTTAGAGAACTTTCTAGAATGTTTCTGATCTACCCTTTTTTATTTCATTTATTATTGTTAATGGTGTGATTGTGTGAAACTCTTTGGGGAAACTCACATTGAAGGAAAGGGATGTTTCTGTCCTTACATCACCATAAGAAACCCAAAAGTTTGCTAAACTCTACTGGACCTTTGAATAGGGCTGGACAAATAATTGCATTTGCAAAATAAATACAATTTAAAACATTGCATTACATTTAACAAGAACAAGACACTAAATTTCTCAGTCCAGTTTTTCCCCTCACTGAAAACTAGACAGAGTTGCAGCAAGATCCATGCATGCAATACTTGTGAGCCCTTTTTCACAAAAAGGTTACAATGAATTCCTACAACAATGGAAGCAAACAAGCTTTGAATTGGTGCATATATAAATCGAAATAGAACCGTAGTTGCAGTATATCAAAATATTTGCATCTTGGATTTTTAGCAAAACCGTTCAGCCCTACCCTTGAATACTGTGCACTTTGGTCAGACGAAGATTAAGACCTTTTAATACCAGACACCCCTGATGCTTCAAGCAGTATTTCAAGAAAGAATATGTGTAAAAGTGTCCTTCCTCATTCTTTCACTGAATTTGTTCTTTAATTGAGAAGGAAAGTGAGACACTTTGCCAATGGAAAAAGACAATTTACATTTAAAATAAGAAAATATCAAGTGCATATTATCTAATTATTTTTAGGGATGCACGATATTGGGATTTTGGCCGATATCCAATATGTCGATATTTTAAAACTCATGTATCCGATAACCGATATCGATACCGATGTTAAAGCTGGACAAAAATAAGTAGTCATTGAATATAGCAGTTTTGTTATCCATTTCTGACACTTTGAAAAATAATATACTCAAATATATTTTCATAGCTGATATCAAATTGATTTTTAAAAACGCGGTATTGATCTATTTTACTTTCAAAATCTCGTGAAATTTCATCGTTCTGTTACAAACTCCCGTGATATTTTGCAAATTCTTGTGAGATTTTGTTAGTAAAATAGATCGATACTGCGTCGATATATCAACATATAAAAATATGGCAAAATTTCGTGAATTTTCGGGGGATTTCGTAGCATAACGATGACATATAGCAATATTTCATTAGTAAAAGAGATTGATATGGTGTTTTTAAATGGCAATATATCAGCATATGAAGATATTGTGATATTTTAATGTATCAATGTTTTTTCCCTCATCTTTAGAAGTTTTTAAGTCTGTAAAAAAGAAGTTTTTGAGAAAAAAGAAGAAGTAGTATTTTTTTTTTTTTAGACTTTAGAAACTTAGAAGCTGATCAAATATCGGGTTAAATATCAGTGGGGTGGCCGATGTCCGATATTCAGTTTTAAGGCCGATACCGATAGGGGGCCGATTATATCGTGCATCCCTAATTATTTCATTTTAAGAGTAAAAAAACACATTCCATTGGCAGATCCATTTTGTTGACCTACTCAAATTAAGGGTAAATGCGCTTAATTTAAGAAATGTTTATTTATTTCTAGAGTAGATCGTCTTCGCAGTGTAGGTATGGTGGCAGATCTGTAATGATGAGGGCCCGCTCCTTTTTCAGAGGCCTCTGACAAGTTCTTGTAAATACAGAAAAAAACAAACACAAATCTGCCGTCGTTTACCTTTAAAATACAGTTGAAGCTTTTTAAAAAGAGGGCCACCCATAAGATAATGCCGAGCCTGCAGAGTAGTAATTAACAAGGCATTAAATCAGCCCTCAATGACTCCAACCCCCCTGGTCTACAGATCCCACTACATTAACAGCACGGCTGCCATCAGTTGCTTTGTTAAATACATATTTTCTATTTTTCTTTCTTCTCCAATGAACAAAAACTGAAAGTCTAAAGTCTAAAACTAAATGAATCTACAGTCAGATATGAGAACTAGAAGGCCTCAAAGCTCTACTGTCTTCTCTGCAGATATAGCGCCCTAGAACACGGATGATACTGCAGCAATGCAAAGCGAGAAGGGGGAGAAATAACGAGACACTGAAGCTCAAGAAGCACAAAGAAAAAGGAGGCGAGGATATTGAGAAAAACTCTGGAGTGAGAACTTGAGATAAAGAAACGGAGAGAAGCTCAGCAGAGGCGAGGAAATGAAGACGGTGAGGCAAACAGGAGGAGTTAGGAAGGGTTTCTGAAAATAATGATGAGACATAAGAGATCAAAGCTGTAGCATTTCTTTATGTTCAACTGCTTCATATTAAATATGCTTTGAGTGTCTGGAACGTCTGCAGAAACAGGAGAGCTGAGGCAGGCCAGCGGATTCAGGTTAAGTTTGTGGGACAGAGAATCCGTATGAGAAAGCAAACGATGAACGTAAATACACTCTGGACGCAAATTAAGCCATGCTTCTGTGAGCGGGCCAACCATAACTTCGGCTGGCCAAGGCTCATGTTCGCTTGCAGCTAGTCTGAGAGCGAGCCGCTTTATTTTCTCAAATCAAGACTAATAACTTCCTTCAGATTTTAAAATTTATAGACCATACAAATTCTGGGAGCTAGCAACAATAAAGTCAAAGGAGCATGTGAAATAGTAAAAGTTGTGAGAAACCCCAGTCAGTGAGTGCGCCGTCTGTCTGGGCATTTGAAGCTGACATGAGGGGAGCAGCTGTAGCCACGCAGTTCATCATCCAGACTGCGTTAGAGGAGCATCAACAAACCTACTGGTTGGTCTTTTGCTGTGGTTTGACAGCGAAACTATATCCTTGACAAAAACAAACTCTTAAACTGTTTTAGAGGGAAGGAATCCAGGCTACTGTGGTCAGTTTGTAGAATATTAAACTAGAATGCACATAGATCTAAGAATAAACCAAGTGGGAACATTTCTCCCCCCCAAAATGTTTCTAAAGACATTCAATTAAATCTATTAAGAAGGATGGAGGACGACTGAAAAAAGTTTTATTAAAAGCTTCCACTTTTATCTAGGTACAGTAAATTCTAATTGAACTCTCCAGCTTTTAAAGTCAGATTAGAGAGAAATTTACAGCCTTCAAAAGATTAGAGTATATATATATATATATATATATATATACACACACTACCATTCAAAAGTTTGGGGTCACATCGAAATGTCCTTATTTTTTAAGGAAAAGCACTGTACTTTTCAATGAAGTTAACTTTAAACCAGTCTGAACTTTAAAGAAATACACTCTATACATTGCTAATGTGGTAAATAACTATTCTAGCTGCAAATGTCTGGTTTTTGGTGCAATATCTACATAGGTGTATAGAGGCCCATTTCCAGCAACTATCACTCCAGTGTTCTAATGGTACAGTGTGTTTGCTCATTGGCTCAGAAGGCTAATTAATGATTAGAAAACCCTTGTGCAATCATGTTTACACATCTGAAAACAGTTTAGCTCGTTACAGAAGCTACAAAACTGACCTTCCTTTGAGCAGAACGAGTTTCTGGAGCATCACATTTGTGGGGTCAATCACTCAAAATGGCCAGAAAAAGAGAATTTTAATCTGAAACTCGACAGTCTATCCTTGTTCTTAGAAATGAAGTCTATTCCATGCAAGAAATTGCTAAGAAATTGAAGATTTCCTACAACGGTGTCTACTACTCCCTTCAGAGGACAGCACAAACAGGCTCTAACCAGAGCAGAAAAAGAAGTGGGAGGCCGCGTTGCACAACTGAGCAAGAAGATAAGTACATTAGAGTCTCTAGTTTGAGAAAAAGACGCCTCACAGGTCCCCAACTGACATCTTCATTAAATAGTACCCGTTAAAACACCAGTGTCAACATCTACAGTGAAGAGGCGGCTGCGGGCTTCAGGGCAGAGTGGCAAAGAAAAAGCCATTTCTGAGACTGGCCAGTAAAAGAAAAAGATTAAGATGGGCAAAAGAACACAGACTTTGGACAGAGGAAGACTGGAAAAAAGTGTTGTGGAGAGGAGAGGACCAGTCTTCTGGCTGATGTAAAGAATCAAAGAAGAAAAAAATCAATTCCTTCGCTAAGCTATAGGCTCGAAAAATTTTTTATTGCAAAAAAATAGATAAAATGCTGATTACAAAAAAAAAAACGAACATTTTTCAAATTAGATTTTTCCCCCCTGTTTAATAAGTGGAAATAATACAAAAAAATAATTTATTTCAAGGGTTTTAACCCCTTATCTAATAAGGACCCGGTGTGCTGCTCCAGAGACAGTTTTGGGATAGAATAACCAAAAAGCAGTAGAAGTGGGTCAGATGCCATGCCCCTCAGTTAGTACTTTTAATACAAAATACTAAAAAATACATAAAAAAAACTGGCCGCAACATAGAAGCTCTTCAGCCACTGGGC